TTTTTTTTCTTTCTTTTTCTTGAAAAATTACGACAGGCGGATCCGAAACACAAGAAATAAAATTGGTCTGGCCTTAGTTGAGATTTATCAGTATTGGAATCGTCAGAACAACAATCTCACCCAACTACACATATGTACTGACCACTCTTGTCTTTTGCTATTATAGTAGGTTTCTTCGATCTTTTCGTAGTTGTTCAGTTGTAATTTTATTCAGAAACGCGTGACATTTGCTTAGCGCCAAATTAGAGAAAGATGTTTTTGAGAAAGAATGATGCTGGGAAAGCCTGATACCAGGAAAGAATGATGCTGGGAAAGCCTGATACCAGGAAAGAATGATGCCGGGAAGGCCTGATACCAGGAAAGAATGATGCTGGGAAAGCCTGATACCAGGAAAGAATGATGCTGGGAAAGCCTGATACCAGGAAAGAATGATGCCGGGAAGGCCTGATACCAGGAAAGAATGATGCTTGGAAAGCCTGATACCAGGAAAGAATGATGCTGGGAAAGCTTGATACCAGGAAAGAATGATGCTGGGAAAGCCTGATACTAGGAAAGAATGATGCTGGGAAAGCATGATGCTGGGAAAGCCTGATACCAGGAAAGAATGATGCTGGGAAAGCTTGATACCAGGAAAGAATGATGCCGGGAAGCCTGATACCAGGAAAGAATGATGCTTGGAAAGCCTGATACCAGGAAAGAATGATGCCGGGAAAGCCTGATACCAGGAAAGAATGATGCCGGGAAAGCCTGATACCAGGAAAGAATGATGCTGGGAAAGCCTGGTACCAGGAAAGAATGATGCTGGGAAAGCCTGATACCAGGAAAGAATGATGCTGGGAAAGCCTGATACCAGGAAAGAATGATGCTGGGAAAGCCTGATACCAGGAAAGAATGATGCTGGGAAAGCCTGATACCAGGAAAGAATGATACCAGGAAAGAATGATGCTGGGAAAGAATGATGCTGGGAAAGCCTGATACCAGGAAAGAATGATGCTGGGAAAGCCTGATACCAGGAAAGAATGATGCTGGGAAAGCCTGATACCAGGAAAGAATGATACCAGGAAAGAATGATGCTGGGAAAGAATGATGCTGGGAAAGCCTGATACCAGGAAAGAATGATGCTGGGAAAGCCTGATACCAGGAAAGAATGATGCTGGGAAAGCCTGATACCAGGAAAGAATGATACCAGGAAAGAATGATGCTGGGAAAGAATGATGCTGGGAAAGCCTGATACCAGGAAAGAATGATGCTGGGAAAGCCTGATACCAGGAAAGAATGATACCAGGAAAGAATGATGCTGGGAAAGAATGATGCTGGGAAAGCCTGATACCAGGAAAGAATGATGCTGGGAAGCCTGATGCCGGGAAAGAATGATACCAGGAAAGAATGATGCCGGGAAGCCTGATACCAGGAAAGAATGATACCAGGAAAGAATGATGCTGGGAAAGAATGATGCTGGGAAGCCTGATACCAGGAAAGAATGATGCTGGGAAGCCTGATACCAGGAAAGAATGATGCTGGGAAGCCTGGTACCAGGAAAGAATGATGCTGGGAAAGCCTGATACCAGGAAAGAATGATGCTGGGAAGCCTGATGCCGGGAAAGAATGATGCTGGGAAAGAATGATACCAGGAAAGAATGATGCCGGGAAGCCTGATACCAGGAAAGAATGATACCAGGAAAGAATGATGCTGGGAAGCCTGATACCAGGAAAGAATGATGCTGGGAAGCCTGATACCAGGAAAGAATGATGCCGGGAAGCCTGATACCAGGAAAGAATGATGCTGCCACGTTTGAAGCATAAAATAGATTTTAGCGAAATTTCTTGTTCTTTTGATTGATTTCTCGCTGTTCTTGTTGCTTCAAAAGTATATTTTAAAATCTTGGCAACCGTCATATCGTCAAACAACCCAGGCGATATATAGTATTATATACACAAAGCGATAACAAAATACAAAAGATTAAAATAGGTTACTCATTCCTACTCATTGTTCCTAAAACAATAATATAACAGTACAACCTCCAGCGTGTAACTGTTAATAGTCATTGGTGACATTTCGGATTTCTTCCTTCGGAAGACTTTTACCAAAATAGTTGACCTATATTACTAAATAGTCGCAAGTCTATACCCCATTGTTCACCTATATTACTACATAGTCGTAAGTCTATACCCCATTGTTCACCTATGTTACTACATAGTCGTAAGTCTATACTCCATTGTTGACCTATTTTACTAAATAGTCGTAAGTCTGTTACCCCATAGCTAACCTATGTTACTAAATAGTCGTAAGTCTATACCCAATAATTGACCTATTTTACTAAATAGTCGTAAGTCTGTTACCCCACAGTTGACCTATTTTACTAAATAGTCGTAAGTCTGTACTCCATAGCTGACCTATTTTACTAAATAGTCGTAAGTCTGTACTCCATAGCTGAACTATTTTACTAAATAGTCGTACGTCTGTACCCATTTCTGACCTATTTTACTAAATAGTCGTAAGTCTGTACCCCATTTCTGACCTATTTTACTAAATAGTCGTAAGTCTGTACTCCATAGCTGACCTATTTTACTAAATAGTCGTAAGTCTTTACCACATTTCTGACCTATTTTACTAAATAGTCGTAAGTCTGTACTCCATAGCTGACCTATTTCACTAAATAGTTGTAAGCCTGTTACCCCATAGTTGACCTATTTTACTAAATAGTCGTAAGTCTGTTACCCCATAGTTGTCCTATTTTACTAAATAGTCGTAAGTCTGTTACCCCACAGTTGACCTGTTTGTAGCAGTATGAATAGACCAATTTGTGATAATGAAAAAATAATCCAAGTTACAACAATATTCGCTGAAAAAATATTTTCTGCTTCGAAAATGGAATTATTAGCAATGTATGAAATAAGCCAAAAATCCAGCTAGACATCAGGGCTGGTAACTTCAAAATATTACCAGCCCAAAATGGATTTAACCAGACCAAACATGGTAAATTTACTCAGATGTATGGAACATCTAAAGAATTTACCAGGCCATCGGGCTGGCTAGCTTTAAATTTTGACCGTCTGTCTGAAATCTAGACCGTCTCGGGCGGTCGGACGGGACTTATTTCATACACTGCTATTAGGCTTTCGTAGCAGCATATTGTTAGTCGTTTCGATATAGTGTTTCCTATTTCAACCCTGAAATGCAGACATCGTGTTTGAACGCAGGCTGTAAACAATGTTGTTGCATTTCTAAGAAGTTGATAGTTTTGAGAAGTACATTTTTATTACTCCTTCAGGGAAAGTGGGGTAGCCTAATGGTTAAAGCGTTCGCTCGTCACCCTGATGACCCGGGTTCGATTCCCCACATGGGTACAATGTGTGAAGCCCATTTCTGGTGTCCCCCGCCGTGATATTGCTGGAATATTGCTAAAAGCGGCGTTAAACCAGTGTAGGAAATAAGGCCCGTCCGACCGCCCGAGACGGACTAGATTTCTGCCGGACGGCCTAATTTTACAGCTAGCCAGCCCGATGGGCGGGTGAAAAAAAATATCCGATAACATGCCCACTGGCACTGACTGGTTAAATCTCTTCTGGGCTGGTAAGTATTTTGAAGTTACCAGCCCAGATGTCTGGCTGGGTTTTGGGCTTATTTCATACACTGGTTAAACCATACTCACTCACTCACTTACTCCTTCATCAGGTGGTTACGATATACTCCGAAACGTCAAGTTTTCAAAATAACGAAGCTGACATTCATAAATTCTCGCCTTTAATGTTGTATTAATACCCTGAACTAGCGGAATGTTATTTGAAAGTTTCCACAACAATGAGAGGAAGGCAGGGCCGATGTTCCGGTTCATCGCAAGCGGAAATAACTTAGCTTCGGCATGAATAAGCATCTGTGCTTATTTATATCGAAATATCTATGTAACGAGACCTGTGAAGATCCGGGTTAGAATATTGATCTTCAGTAACCCATGCTTGTCGTAAGAGGCGACTAACGGGATCGGGTGGTCAGGCTCGCTGACTTGGTTGACACATGTCATCGGTTCCCAATTGCACAGATCGATGCTCATGCTGTTGATCACTGGATTGTCTGGTCCAGACTCGATTATTTACAGACCGCCGCCATACAGCTGGAATATTGCTGAGTGTGGTGTTTAACTACACACACTCACTCACTGTATGCAACGAGAACATATTTGAAATAACGGCAAAACTAATGTAACGAACTTTGAAATAAACTTGAGATAACAAAAGCATAATGTTACGAAATTTAATCAGTGTAACAGAAAAGATTCAAACTTCGAGGGGAAAACCCGAATAAACAGTTGATTAAAAACAACAAGAAATTTCCGTTAAAAATCGATGCGGTCAAAATCATTTGTAAGGTCAAATCAAGCTGGGTACACAGCAATTAAGTTGCTAGTTTTGTATTTAGAATGTTTCCAGAATTCTTTGACCATTTGAAACGCAGCAGCTCTCATTGTTTTATTTACCTGTAAAGATTTGAGTTAGTCTCGGTCTTCAAGAACCCATGTTTGTCGTAAGAGGCGACAGGCTCGCTGACTTGGTTGACACATGCCATCCTATTGCAGTTGTGTAGATCGATGCTCTTGATGCTGATCACTGGAATATCTGGTCCAGACTCGATTATTTACAGACAGCCGTTATATAGATGGAATATTGCTAAAAGCGTAGTTACACAACAAAGAAACCTACACAAGATGTTATTTTCATGCAACAGTATTCAAACAGTCTCTCAGACCTAGGTATTTACACAAAGGGTCACTTCTATAACGAATTTCTTTTCCGTCAGTTTTCAAAGTTGAAAGTGTCTGTTTATATAACGTTTACTACCTAATCAGTGCATCAGCCTTGAGAAAATGTACACCAAGAAGTAGTGTACGAGAGTGATGGCCCAGATACGGCGAGTTCACCTCCTACAGAATTTTAACAACTCTTCTTGCCATTTCTCATTATGACACATCAGCTGATGACATCTTAATGGGCACGCCCGGTACGGATTTGTTCACCGACACGACTGAGTGACCCGAACTTGATAAATGCTGAACTATAACACAATTAATCTGTACGAATTCTTTGTTTTAGTCTTAAAACTGTGGAATCTGTTTGGTGTCCTGCATTCTTGTGAAACTGGAGTGTTCACCAGCGAAAACACAGCGTGACTGGGGATTGCGGAAGTCACGTGATGTTAAGACTCCGCCCATGCGCCTTGGATAACGTCATCGTAAAGTAAGTTTCCATGTCTGTGTTTGTCAATGAGATTAAAACGTATATTTGTAGTACGATATGGAAGACAATGTCTGGATACAGGGTAAACGTGATTGTAATGAGAAGAATGAACACGCTGATAATTAAGAACTTGTGGACATGGTGCTTCAATATATATTTCCCATATCCATATTCTTATCATCAGAATACAAGGTTAAAATATACGCAATGAGTAGATAGAAAACTTGATTTAATACATATCTCCCATATGAAATATTCTACTCAAGCAGGAATACTGTATGGAGAAATCTTCAGCATATTCACGATAACAAGGCTCTAGTAATTATAGAAGTTCCAAGTGTAGCAGGGCGTGGAGTCTTACCACAGATGACATCCTTACCTTGTCAGCTTGCTGACGGGGTTAATTAACCTATTTGGTCATGTGGACAAGGCCTCCAACTTCAGATCAGAAAGTCCGTGGTTCGAATACCATGACGGGACATTGAAATGTTATGGCCCATAATTTTAATGGCTACATTGGGCCCAACGTAGGCCTGAGCAAGTTCATATTATATTTGAGCAAAATAAGTCTCAATATCCCGCAGTGCTGCTCGGGACGTGCCTTCTGTTGACGGGGGAGTATGTAGCAGGGCGTGGAGTCATCCCACAGATGACAAGATAAGTTTCAAGCTTGCTGACGGGGTTAACCTCTTTGCCCAGTGGAGAAGGCGTCCGATTTCAGATTAGAAGGTCCGTGGTTCGAATTCCAGGACAGGACACGGAAATGGCCGCTACATAATGACACCGTAGTGTTGTGAGTTCAGCAACATCTCCTCGTCCATCTGTTATTACCATAAAACTTGACAGTGGCAGATATCTCGCGACACCGTCACAGGAAATCATTAGGGACCGTACAAAATTTATGGCTTAAGGGGATGATGATGATGTTTACCGAGAAGTATGTGGATCACACACACACACACACACACACACACACACACACACACACACACACACACACACACACACACACACACACACACACACACACACACACCATTTATTTACAAAATACGTGACACTCTCCATCCTGCATGTCACGTACAAACATCCCCCCATCCCATAATTTCAAAGCAATTGTTTTTAATTTTGAAATGTACACAATCGATTAGCGCCCCCCTCCTCTCTCCCCCCTAGGTCAAGAAGCAATTTTAACTTGCATGTGATGGAATTTGCTTCAGGTTTATTGCGCATGTTTATGACAAATGTCGTTCAGTTTAACTTAGCGAATTTCTAATTCAACATCATGAGCATCGATCTATGCAATTGAGACACGATGACATGTGCCAACCAAGTCAGCGAGCCTGACCACCTGATCCCGTTAGTCGCCTTTTACGACAAGCATGGGCTTTTCTAACCAGGATCTTCACGGGTACTTCACACATTGAAGTATGGTCGAAAATATGGGACACGAAGGAACCGTTCGTTATATCCGTCAGTTCGTTATATCCGTCAGTTCGTTATAAGCGTGTTCAATATAAACGTAGTTTACTGTACATGTACTTTTGAATTTTATTTTGTAAGTTTTACTAAGTTATGTTACATACATATACATGATTGTGTGGTTTGAAATCACCCACGCATCTCATTTTATCATCTGATATTGGCGCATGCACAATTGCCAAGCGCAGTGAGGCGCTTTCTGTAAAGCTTAAATATATTATTTAATCCAGTGACCCCGCATATATGAATAGAGACTCTGTATCCATAACTTACACAGGTCTTCAATGTCATTGGTTTAAGTACTTGAACATACATATAAAAACCGAGTTATTCATTTCAAGAAGCTATGCAACTGGGGTTGAGTTAATTATAGGTGTGGGAGTTTTAAATAGAGATAATATGAATTGTAGGAATGTGTCAGGACCACTGACATCTTTACAGTGCTTTTTACATTACTGCTGTGTTGTGCTGTCCTTTGCTGTGCTGTGTTGTCCTTTGCTGTGCTGTGTTGTTATGCGTTATCCTTTGTTGTGCTGTGCTGTGCTATCCTGTGCTGTGTTGTGCTATCCTGTGCTTTTCTGTGCCATCCTGTGCTGTGCTATCCTGTGCTTTTCTGTGCTATCCTGTGCTGTGTCGTGCTGTCCTTTGCTGTGTTGTGTTGTTATGCGTTATCCTTTGTTGTGCTGTGCTGTGCTATCCTGTGCTGAGCTGTTCCTTGGACTGGTGATTAAATCTATATTACTGGAATAGTTAGGCAATTAACATTTTGTGCTTAATATGAACCAAGTAGCCTGTATTGTCCATGGCATACTTAGATCCACCGAGCACCCCACCACATCCCAACAGTACCTACTTCTTTCTGAAGCCCTGCATGTCTTGAAGATGAAGTCGACTGTTAACATTGTAACTATAGGGATGCACCACCTGTTTTTATCATATTCATTTATTTACCGTTTTCTGCGGATCGCGTCAAGTGTCATTTTTCGACCTTATTATAACGGTCCATGGAAGGCTTCAAACTAAAAATCTTTTTTTTTATAACATGTATTATATCAAATGAAAGCTGAAGGTATTCAGGTTTCAATGATACCATCTCCGTTTGGGGTATCATGGACGTTTTATTAATTATTCAACATTTAGGTTATATACTCTAATTTTGAATATTACTCCACACAGATCACTCTAAATTTTACATAACTTTATTTCCTGGAAATTCCTGCTAATATTCTTATGTTACGAGTTGATTTGTAAGAGAACTGGGTTGTGAAACCAACAAAAAAACACAAAAAAATGAATTAAGTTCACAACCAATACATACACTACATGGGTATCACTACGGCAGTAGACCCGTGAAAATCCGGGGTAGAATAGGTCTTCAGCAACCCATGCTTGCAACAAATGGCGACTAAGCTTGTCGTAAAAGGCCACTAACGGGATCGCGTCTTCAGGCTCAATTCCCTGTCAGTTCCAAATTGCGCAGATCGATGCTCATGCTGTTGATCACTGGATTGTCTGGTCCAGACTCGATTATTTACAGACCGCCTCCATATAGCTGGAATATTGCTGAGTGCGGCGTAAAACTAAACTCACTCATTCTCTCACCCACTCACTACGGCAGTACAGATTCAGAGGCACAATACAAGAGCAGTGACTGTTGTAATAAAGACAATGATGGTAGTATATACCTCTCAGCAACACTATTCCAGTTCTTTGAACTATGGCTGGGGTGGGTATCATCATCACACACAACGCTCTTCTTTTGGTTAACTGAGATGTTATTTTAAACGACAATAGCTACCTCCCCTTACATACACAAAACAAAGTTGCTAGAAAATTCTAAAATATTCTGTTTGTTAGAACACAGGACAGCAGACCACTTTCCGGTAGTGAGTGAGTGAACCGGAACATCGGCCTGCCTTCCTCTCATTGTTGTGGAAACTTTTATATAACATTCCGCTATTTCAGGGTATTAACGGCGAACATTTATGAATTTCAGCTTCTTGATTTTGAAAACTTGACGTTTCGGAGTATATCCTAACCACCTGATGAAGGTGTAAGTGAGTGAATGAGTATGGTTTTACGCCGCTTTTGGTAATATTCTAGCAATATCACGGCGGGGGACACCAGAAATGGGCTTCAGATATTGCACCCATGTGGGGAATGGAACCCGGGTCCTCGGCGTGACGAACGAACGCCTTAACCACTAGGCTACCCCACCGCCCCCTTTCCGATAGTGAATCTACAGGTACTGTCATGGGACATAAGTATTCGTCGGTCGGCAAAATTCTCATAGACTTGCATGTTATTTTAGTGTAGCTGCAATATTTTTCATTGATACAGTATTCGTTATTCGGTTGTCAAATTTTGCAGGTTGTTAGGAAATTATCTTGGTCACAGATACATAATTTCCATGTAATGTTCCGTCAAGTATTTTCCGCATTGTAGTTACATGAGCAACATCTATACAACATTGTGTATTCTTTCCCCGGAGGCCGCCATGTTAAAAGTTGTCTTAACCATGACACTCATCAATCAAAGTGTGGTCATTCTTGAAATACTAAATAGAAAATAAAACGGAATTTATGTCTGCGCAGCTGAAATGATTCATGACACACGTGCAAAATCTGAACAAGATCAAACGAAAAATAAATTCATGACAAGTTTTCTAGCTGTAGCAAATTAACACGTAAGTCTATGGAAATTATGCACAGTGACGAATACTTATGTCCAATGACTGTACATTGAATAACAGTTAAATTAGTTGGTTCATAATGTTAAACACTGTCCCGTAACACATTTACAGGCAACAAACAATCCAATTGCATTCAACCTGCCACAAGAATGGAGACAAATTTACCTAGATTAATGAAATAATTGGAATTCGAACTATACATGATACAATGCATATAAATACTAGTTGCGATAATATAGATAGTTGTTCAGAACGAATAGGTTTGTTTGGGAATACAGAATCTATGGTTATAACTTTGCATCAAAATTTGTGTTTGTTTGCTGGCTGTTTAACGCTACACACAGTAATGTTCCAACAATATGACTCTCAAGAATATGTAAACAATCGAATCCGGACAAAAAGTCGAGTGATTGAGCTCATGAACATTGATCTAAAAAGGTCGAAGAAAAAATATGAAAACACCAAAAATATTAAATATACAGGTGTTTGAATGAATAATACTTATCTCCTACACAGTGAGTACGAGGTAGCGTTCTTTTGAAATAAGTCTTTGTTTATCACACTATTATCTGTTTCTAAAATATATTCCCGCCATGTTTCAGATGAATCCCGGAAGTCACTCGCGGCCATCGTTGGTTCTGATCTTCCTGATTTTGTGCTGGTTAGCAGATGGTAAGATGTGACGACTGGGTGAGTGGGTAGGTTGAGACGACTGGGTGAGTGGGTAGGGTGTGGCGACTGGGTGAGTGGGTAGGGTGTGGCGACTGGGTGAGTGGGTGGGGTGTGGCGACTGGGTGAGTGGGTAGGGTGTGGCGACTGGGTGAGTGGGTAGGGTGTGGCGACTGGGTGAGTGGGTAGGGTGTGACGACTTGGTGAGTGGGTAGGGTGTGGCGACTGGGTGAGTGGGAGTGGGGTGTGGCGACTGGGTGAGTGGGTAGGTGTGGCGACTGGGTGAGTGGGTAGGGTGTGGCGACTGGGTGAGTGGGTAGGGTGTGACGACTGGGTGAGTGGGTAGGGTGTGGTGACTGGGTGAGTGGGTAGGGTGTGGCGACTGGGTGAGTGGGTAGGGTGTGGCGACTGGGTGAGTGGGTAGGGTGTGGCGACGTATTTAGTAATGTGGCCGTCATATGACAGCGAACGCCCGATTCTAAAAACATTGAAACTCGAACTCGGATCGTCGAGACGAGACAACGCTTCATGTTGCCCATATGGAAGTAAGACGTGTAGCTGTACGGCACAGTTAACATAGGCGTATGCATCTTTGCCATAGTAACTGATTTCTTGTGTTTTAACATGTATTATTTAAGCTATATGCACGAACCGTTATAATGCTTCATATCCTTATTTGACCTAGATGAAATATTTTGTTCAGAATTACTTACGTTAATTATGCCTGGAACCGCTGGTCGTGGGAACTTTGGTCTTCCTATACCATACCAATCTAATCATGAGTCTATGAACTGCTTGCTACATAGTGCTACTGTTAAAGAAGTGGCCTCATTGCAGTGATGACCTTTATCTCCTTACCTGTTTAGTTCAAGTCATTTACCAAACTGATTTGTTTTGTCCACAGAGACACGGGCACAAGACTGGTTTGGCGCCTACCCAGCCTTTTACGGCGACTTTGGCGTATATGCCACCCAGGCGCCAGCGTGGGGATATCAGTATGGCATCCTTCAAAACATTGGCGTCCTAGATCCCCAAACTCAAGCTGGGACTATGAATGTCCAGCAGGGACCCATGGACTACCAGCAGGCTGAGCTAATGAACACTCCAGAAGCTACGAATCACCATCAAACCCACACCGAAATGAGGAATGCCCAGAGCCAGCCAGGGCCCTTTGATCATAAAAGCCACGCAGGAATCCTGAATGGTCCTGATCAACCTGGAGGTGTACTTCAAACCCAGCCAGGGCTGATGAGCGATCCTGGCATCGTGGACTCCCAGAATCCAGGTAGCATTTCTCATCAACAAGGAAGTGCAGTCCCACAGTCGCAGAACGTTCTAGATGTCACTGCCAGCCAACAATTGGATGTAAACAGTCAGGTAGGATCAGGACAGCAGGCTGGAAAGCTAGAAGCACCATCTGTATATTCACCCCAGTGGCAAGGTGAGTTGCAGTCAAATCAGAGATCAGGCGATAATACTTCGTCGAGGGCAGAAGTTGGTTCTCCTGCATCCAGGGTACCTGACATTCAAGCTGATCCTGGTGTAGGCATATTCTCTGGAAACGCTGCAAGTTCTGTACCAGGCCAAGAAGTTCCAACTCCTCGGACTGTTCCAGGTCAGTGGACAGGAGAACTCCCAACGGCTGACCAGCAAACATCCGTTACAGACAATAATGGTTGGCACCAGAGCGGGGGGAAAGCATCTGTGGGTAACGTTCAATCTGTGGCATTCCCCCAGCAGAACTGGCAGGCCAGTTTACAAGACCAACAAGTAAACCAGCAACACATGCATACCAATCCAAACAGTAATCAACCGGTGTTTGTGCAGCAGTCGGATCCAAGAACATTTCAGACCATGCTTGCAAACAACCAAAATCAGCAGCCCCAACAAAATTCATCAGTGAACCAATTCGACCAAACGCAGATTTCACAACAGCGTGTGATTCCCAATCAGCATCTTATTCCATGGGGAATGATCCGCCCATCTGCCTACCCACAGCTTCAGGCAATGGATCCAACAGCCCGGGCAAACTGGATCTACCAAATGCAGATGAAGGCTCGGCAGTACTACAGACAGCGGCAGATGTACCCGACACAGACGTGGAATGTCCAAGCTGGGTATGCAACAATACCACCAGCAGGTTCTGGGTACAGTACCGGACCACAATGGTCCAGCACCACAAGCACCTCCACCAAGGGGCATGCTCAACCAAACACCCAGCAACTTATACCAGAAAGCCAGTTGCAACCTGCGGACGGTTCATCGATCTTTCAATCAGGACAAAACATGATGCCCACACCACCCACACGTGCAATTCCAGGGCAACAAACTACAACAGTTGTCAGCACTGCAGCCATGACAGGTGTTACCTCAAGCTCCACCAACGCCACATCCAGGGAAAATCAGTCATTGTCTACCATTACGCCTGATACGAACATGACAATGGCAGAACTTCAAAAGATAGTCCGAGTTTTTCTCATCCCGCACAGAGTCGACCAAATGATGCAAGTTACAACACAGACACCTACTCTAACAGTGTCTATACCTGTATCACGCTTAGGGACTGGTCAGGGGCAACGCCCAATTTCAGAAATGTTCATCAGGATGATCAATTTTGCTCCCCGACCTTTGTGGATCTCTGCACCTAGGGATAACAACAGACAACATAAGCAGCCTTTGTCAGAAATCCATGTAAAGTTAGTTAACTATGATCAAAGAATAGTGGATTCGTTCAACGGTCATATTTCATCCCCTAACGCTCGACCTTCACGAAATGAGCAATCGCCTCCGTTGTCAAAACGAGGACATAGAATACCAGGAATAACATTCATCAAAAGTAGTGCTGACATTCCAGACAGTTCAGTTCCGATTCCTAGTGCATCCAATGCTTCCAACAAATCGACGTCCCAGGGCAACGTGCAGAACCATCAGCAGGCTGTTGTTCGACATACCCAGATGCTGCACCACGTCATGAACAGTCTTCAGAAGGAGCTAAATCGTTTCCAGGGCAGTGTAAGACAAAACAGAGACCCACCAGCCACAGACAAACCTGTGAATGAAGTAAAACCTTCACGAGTTGCTGTTAATGGTACCACGGTATCGGTGCCCCAGGCACAAAGAAACCAACTTGGATTCAAACCACCAATGCCTCTGAAGAAAGATATGAAAACTGGTACTACAGGTGTCCCACTGAGGGACGACCCCTTACTGGGTAAGGCAAATAGAAGTTCAATACATATGCATACAGGATATAATCTGCAAAAAGATATTCCTGTGAAAGAAATATTAAGGGAGTCTACATCCACAATGACACCAGTGGTCACATCAACACCATCCACCACAACGCCAGCGGTGGCAGCAACGTCTCACATGACAACAATCGTTCCACCAGCACTTACCAAACCGGACACTGTCACTAGAACTCAAGCAAATTCATCAGACTTCATACTCAAAGACATCCCAGCTGCTATTATCACAGGCGATCCTGGGGCTAAAAGAAATAAACTGAGCGAATTGTTAGAAAAGAGTAAATCGTCTTATAGTGTTCCTCTTCCAGAATTACCAAACGTAGAGCTCACAGCTCTCTACTCTGTCCACAGTGATGTCACGGAGGGTAACATTCTGAAAACAGATAAAACTGTACAGAAGACACTGTCTTCAAAAGTAGAACCAACAACCAGTGTTCCTTCTTCAACCCCAACAACCACCTTAAATGACAACGCGTCTACAGCCGCACCTGCCACCAACACAGCAGAGATGAGAAAACAGCAAATCAACGATCAAATTAACGAACAGCTGAGTGTCCTCAACCGCCTTCATCAACGGCAGAAAATTATTGAGCACCAACATCAGCTGAGGGAACAGCATACACGACTACAGAAGCAGAGGGACATTCTACGGCAGCAACTACAGACTCTGCAACAGCTTCGAGACAGAAATATGGGCATCAATAAAAGCTCCCTTCCACTTCCTGGAGGACCGGAAGGAATAGCAACCGCATGGGAAGGAATTCAGCTGAGCCTGTTAGATGCAGGTTTCAGATAAGCGTGGATTGTCAGTTGATCAATAAATGTAACGGTGGATACTGCTTTGGTTTCTTATGTGCTCGATTATGCAGACACAAAATATGTTTTTTAACAAAAATAATTAAAACATTGATCACTGGACATGTTGAAATTTTGTGAAATACCTTCCAAGACTTCCGGTTGATCTTGTCACGGACATTATTATATAAACATGGGGATACATTCCGTGCACGATTCTTTAACTCGGAATCGTAGTTAATCAGTCCGACATCCTGGGAATCTTGTCGTTCGTATTAAACAGGATCCACTGTAGTCCTTTGTTGTAGCCAAAAGAAATGGTCTGATTTGTGTAGTAGATTGATAGGGTATAGCTTCTGGTGTCTCTGCACTAACTGGTTCTAAACTGACTGTAGCCATAATAAATCACTACACCCTGTACAAACATTGCAAAAAAATGCAGAATTATATATTTTGTTAACATGATGTTTTGAGAATCTCCTTTCGGTCTACGGCAATTCGTACAGTTGTGAGACAGACATTTCGATGAATATTTATCAGAACATATTTCTACGTGTGGCAGGAGTGGTGGTTGAATGTAAGGATTGCTCAGACGCTATAGTCCGTTTGGCTCAAAAGCGGACCGATGAATTGCAATCTAACTAAAAAACTACTTAATATATAATACTGAATGAAACACTGATCATAATCAAAACATCAGACCAACTCTGAGTTTTTTTGCAGAATTTATGTCCTGAAAATAAAAAAGTTGTTTAAAGGTCACATGCAACCCCAAAATCAAACTGAATTAAAACACAATTATCACTTATTCATGACATATAATATACATTGCTGATTATGTAGAAACATATAAACAAAATTATAAGCGTACAATCGCAAATCAAAAGGGCAATATTTTGTACTTGTACTTCCCTCGAAACGAAGCACCCGGGATACCGAACCCAGTCAGAGCGGGCGGGTGTGCACTCAAGTGTAACGGCTGGTTCATTTGCCGATGCCCTCTCGGCTCATTGTCTGTGTGTGTATAGAGATGTTGGGTTTTGTAAATACATGCTCACTTTTTGTGTATAACATTTTGCAATCAACAGACATCATAACATGTCATGTGTATAAGTATCACACCTGCCTGTCTGTGTAATTACATAATGTGACAGAGACCGAACTCGGGCCATAAATCAATGCGTTTTGTTTATGGTGTATAGCCTGACAGGTGTTAAGTTCAAAATGCATGTGGTCAGTGATCAAAGTTGTGTATTGAATATTGTCATTAGCAGACAGACAGGCAGACACAAAGGTGTCAATAAAACAGACATTGAGTTTTCTCTGTGAGAACGACATATCTATATCACAGTTAGAAATTCTGTCAACGCTAAATAATGACATTGCTTTTAAGTATCGAACTGAGAAAGTGACTCGGTAAGAACGTGTGGTGAAATAGACAAATGAAATTACATAAACAGTTAAATCGGTAATCTACTGTCATAACATATAAAAAGCTCGCGCCTGTGAAATATCAGCAAAACATTAGAAAAATAGCTCACATCAAAGCCTTCAACGAGTAATCACCGCCAGCGAAGGTTTTCCGTCTTGAAATGTCGAACGCCTCACTGGTTGACACGTAGCTGAGTAGATCTAGATCCTAACAAGGTTCTTTTATGTAATAAGTAGATTATTTACTAATTGTTTTGATTAGACTACTCCTGCTCACGACCTTATAATCCGGACATCACGCTTCCAAGCTGCGCGAACCTATTTCACTGCGCATGTGCTATGAGCGCAGCACAGCTGATGAAACCACTTCTCACCCCAAGCGCTGGGGTGAATTAGTGAATCTCCGAAACTCCGATTTCGCAGGGTTTTTTCATCGCGTTATTTTTGAACTTTATAAGTTGAATTTGCATTTTTGATGATTTGTATCTGTAAGTCCATATCGAACGGTATCAGAATCTGCAAAGTTGTGTTTTACGTTGAATGTGACCTTTAACAAACTATCATTAAAATTTTGACACACTTCACTATTTGTTACGAGGGAGGAGTGCAAAAACAGGAACCGCCAGGTGTAAGCGGAGCACATGCACAAGTGCCGACAAAGCTATTGATTCATTTACCTGTGCTGTGCCGTCTCCATCCTTTCTCGCACACCTGGCTGACCCTTTCTCTGAATTCCTCCCTCGTACCACATAGTGAACTGTGTAAATATTTTAATGACAGTTTGTTAAACAGCTTTTTGATTTTTGGGACATAAATTCTACTACAAAATCACAGAGTTGGTCTGATGTTTTTTATTATGATCGGCGTTTCATTGAGTATTATATGTTTATCAGTTTTCAAGTTAGATCGCAATTCATGGGTACGCTTTTGAGCCAAACGGACTATACATGTGCTTGTGTGTAACGCCGCACTCAGCAGTATTCCAGCTATATGGCGGCGGTCTGTAAATAATCGAGTCTGGACCAGACGATCCAGTGATCCACAGCATGAGCATAATCCTAAGCAATTGGGATACGATGACATGTGTCAACCATGTCAGCGAGTCTAACCACCCGATCCCGTGCGTCACTCCTTCCGACAGGACAGTACATGTGAATGATATAATACTGCCAGCGAAAACGAAGCATTTTCGTCCGCATTTCGAGCCAAAATATACACCAAAATTTACACCAGTTACCGGGGCGGTGGGGTAGCCTAGTGGTTAAAGCGTTGGCTCGTCACGCCGAAGACACGGGTTCGAATCCCCACATGGGTACAATGTGTGAAGCCTATTTCTGGTGTCCCCCCGCCGTGATGTTGCTGGAATATTGCTAACAGCGGCGTAACACCAAACTCAGTCAGTACACCAGTTACCAGATCCATATGTTTGTTCCAGCCAAATCATGGTACTTTCAATAGAAAATCAGATAAATCTAATCAAATTATACTATTTATTTCAAGTCATTTGTCGTCGATGTTATGTATTTTCGTAGCGTTTTCTGAATTAATAATGGTCAACGTGCCCATATCAGTAAAATCAGATTTGTGACTGCCGATACCTCTATACATGAAGATTCACTCGTTCATCAAAGTCCTTTCCCGTGATGCGAGTCTTTGAGTTTGAGATTATCAGCACCTGCGAATGAAGCATTCAGACTAGCATATGTGATTTGTCCATCTCGGAAATAAGGTTATACGACAGGTTCCGAATGTACACGATACCCGTCGCACTATGATATTTCAAAACACCGTCGTTTCTGACTATCATAGCATATTGTTAATGGAATAACCTTTTCTATTTTTCGAAATTTATATCCATTCATACAACTTGGTTCCCAAATAATATCATCCCGAAATGGAATATCCCTACTTTTTAATAGTATATAAATGTTCAACAAGAAAAGTACTTGTTTCTGTATACTTGAATGGAGTTTCAGTATGTTGTTACTTCCCGTCAAACGTTTAATATTACTTGTATACTTATAGACACTTGTATCAAGGCGTTCCCTGGGTCAAGAAGCGTGGCCCCCTCACTAGGTCAAGAGGCGTGCCCCCCTCACTCTGCTGACAAAGTCAGCGTCCAAGCTCGCCCAACACACAAGGTCATGATTCCGGTCACGGGGACAACGCTATCCCTTGGTAGTGAGTGAGTTTGTGAGTATGGGTTTACGCCGCTTAAATATTAGCAATATCATAGCGGGGGACACCAGAAATGGGCTTCACACATTGTACCCATGTGGGGAATAGAACCCGGGTCTTCGGCGTGACGAGCCAACGCTTTAACCACAAGGCTACCCCACCGCCCCTCAGCTATCTGATACAGTGTTAACATAAATGTTATGAAATTTCCCCTACATTTCACGAAATAGCCTGGAAATATGTTTTAATTTGTATGCTCCAAGAAATGTTTTTAAAAAAACGTTTGTAAAATGTTTCCTGAATGTTTTGTCAGATGTTCTGGAAATGTTTTCATAAAACATTATTGACATGTTGGAAGAGGCGTTTTCCTTAAACATATGATTATGCTGTTTTGAAAGCATCTTCATGAAAAAATCAAACCGTGATGCAACACTGTTATAAAAATATATATATTTAGAAAGGGAGTTCATAAGTGATTGGGAAACAATATTACCATCCAGTTTCAAATGTCATGAACTCAATTGTAACAGGTTCTTAAACTTTGGAACAATTAACGCCCACTTGTTGACATTTAATAAAACCAGGCCATCATGGCAGCCAAAGCAAAACACTGGCTAGTCTCTGGATATATACATTTCTGATTGACCCAAGTAATTCCTTTTCAATTGAAAAGGAATCCCAGTGAGATGGCAGATTCAGAATCTGAGGGTATTTAGACTTGATTCACGTAGATTATTTAGAATTGCAAGAAGGGCTGAGCGGAACTGAATATAAAGCGTGTCAAGGACTGTGAAACAGACGAAGCACTGGCTACTAAAAAACACCAACTAACTGTCACCTATGGGAGTGGTCCTTTCTTCTGCAAAGCCCGTAAAGGTGGCCTACAGGCATGGTGTTGTCCATGAGCAAGGCTTCGAATCCCACATTTCATAATTGATAACAGTCCGCGGTCGCCATGTGAAAGACGCATCCCAGTGTAATTCCCCCCTACATTACACTCCATTTACGTTTGTTGTTTTTGTTTAACGCCGCTCTCAGCAATATTCCAGGTACACGAAGGCGGTCAGTAAATCGTCGTGCCTGGGCCAGAAAATCAAGTGATCAACACCATGAGCATCGATCTATCCAACTGGGATACAGTGATATGTGTCAACCATGTCAGCGAGCCTGACCACAAGTATGGGTTGCTGAACACCAATTCCAACCAGGATCTCCACGAGTTATCCCCCTTTTCAGACAGCCACCATGTTGCTGGGATATTTGTGAGTGTGGTGTTAACAACTGACAATCAAACAACAATGAGATGACAATCAAGATGAGACAATATATGTAGATAGTGAAACCCAACCATACTTATGATAACACTTCATTAAGATAAAAAAATATATTAAAAATACAATACTCACGACTCCGAGCTATTAATTTTCGCACAAATACAGGGGAGTCACGTGGTCCCAGTGTATTGGTTTTTATGGTTGCACGTCAAGGTTCAGGTACCGGAACTGTTTTGT